TCACACGAACCAAAAGAAGCGTTAGGAATGACAGACAATGCTCCTCCTTCATGGCTTATTGATATCCAGGTGAGTGTGTCACTTAGCTTTGTTCTGATACATCTTTTTCAGAGCTGTTTGGATGTGTGGTTTAAAGTTGAAAGCTTTAGGGCTGCGAAATGATATTTGTACATGCAAATAAAGGCTTGTGAGTATCATTGAAATCCATACCTAAAACGAAAGACTGAATTTGGATTTTTTTTTAAATAAAAATCTTCTTCGGGAAGAGATGTGGATTGAAGAAGAAAGAAATGGTTTTTCATTTCACTCTAAATACTTTTCTTTCATGAAATATTTCATAAATTCTCCTCTGAATTCAATCCAGTCTATCATGAATATGACCCAAATTTCACTGTTGCAAGTCTTGATGAAGCATACCTGGATATCACAAAAGTCTGCAAGGAAAGGGATTTATCTGGTGGAGAAGTGAGTCATTTTTTTCTTTCTTTTCATATATGTTGAAAAAAATACAAATTGAAAAATCTTTTTCTTTTTTAATATTTATAAAAAGGTTGTTGAAGAGCTTAGAGAAAATGTGTATAAAGCTACTGGATTAACATGTAGTGCTTGAGTTGCTCCAAATCGGTTACTTGCAAAAGTTTGCTCAGATATAAACAAGCCAAACGGGCAGTTTGTTTTACCTAATGATCAGGTTGCTATAATGACATTTATATCCTCATTTCCTATACGAAAGGTAGTGCATAATGACTTATATACCCTTTACCCTAATTTCACTTTTTTTTTCTTACCAAAATTCATCTTTTAGATTGGGGAAATTGGAAAAGTAACAGAGCATATCTTAAAAGATGTATTTGAGATCAAGACATGTGAAGATTTGTTGCAGAAAAGCTCCTTACTTTTTGCACTATTCTCTCCTTCGTCTGCAGGTATTGTTGTGTTTTTGAAATTTTAATTTTTGTTGGTAAAAAGACGATACTACCCCTGATGGTTTTTGTACAATGTAGAGTTTTTTGTGTCTGTAGGGTTAGGACTTGGGGGAACAGAAGCACCGCATGTTAGATCACGAAAAAGTATGAGCAATGAGAGAACATTTTCTGCAACTAAAGATGAGGCCTTTTTTAATCAGAAATTATGTCATTTATCATTTTATCATTTTGTCATTTATGAGAGTTTATCTTTTGTATTTCTTTACTGAATTTTATATTTGTTAAATTGAATTTTCAGTTGAACTTTCGGAGATGCTTTCTGCTAACATGGAGAAAGAAGGTCTACATGGAAAGACATTGACACTCAAACTAAAAACCACATCATTTGAGGTACAATTTCGTTCTTTTTTGATAGAAGGGCATTTTTGTCTTTTTCACACAGCCAAGAGATAAAAAAAATTGAAATTTTTAGGTGAGAACTCGAGCGACGACTTTGCAGAGATATACTGAAACATGCTTCAAAGCTTCTCAAGGCTGAACTTCCTATATCACTTAGATTAATCAGTAATGTTTAATGTGTAAAAATTAATTTATATAAAATAATAATATTTATTAACGATAATAATTTTTTTTTGTAGGATTGCATATGTCGCATTTTAATGAAGATAAAGGTGGTAGTGGTGTATCTGATCCTAAACAAAGAACCCTTTTGAATTTTATAAAATCTGGAGATGATAACAGGGAAAGTGTAGATAAAGAGCAATCAGATTCAGATCCATGTTTTGATCATTTTTCTAAAAAGAAAATTTATCGCAATATTAAGCTCTAAGCTTTGAAGACTAAAAGAATTTAAGATCCTTTGAATAGTTAACTAATTAACTTTTAACTTACTATTTGTTATAGATTTTTCAGTTTAATATTATTTTTATCTTATTGCAATTATTGAATTCAATATTATTTCTTTTTTCATTACCCTCATTTTCTGACACATGCTTAGGTATCTTTCGTATCCCATGATTTGTTTTTCCTCCCACTGCATCTTAGATCTTAGAATAAACCATATCAGCAACATGATAGTCTCCTATTAATTAGCCATTCAGTTATCATATTCCCCGTTTCACTCCACTTTATTAACACAGGGGCCATTATGTAATTTTGAAAATCAGTTACACAGGGGCTGTTTTGTCGATTGAATAACTAAGGACCAGATTTCACTTAATTTATTAAGACATGGGATGTTTTGTAAATTTAGTAACACAGGGGCTATTCTGTCCATTGATTAACATATGGAGCTATTATGTAATTTTTAGCAATGTACTATGAAATACATTAACATAGGGAGCTATTATGTAATTTGTTGAAATTAAAATTGTATGTTTGAAAGTTTGTAACACTTGGGCTGTTTTGTAAATTTAGTAACACAGGGGCTATTTCTCATTTCTTTTAATAACACATAGGCCAAATTTCACACAAATCGTATGTTATTTTCAACAGTTGACTTTTATTTGAATCAATTTAAAGGGTAAAATTGTAAAAAAAAAAAAGTGTCTATCTGTGTGTACTGGTTTGTGCGTTTTCTGTGGGTCATGTATATGTTCTGTTTTGTTAAAAGCAAATCAACTTTACGGGGCGACATATCTCTTCTGCTTATTTTATGATAATAACATAAACTTAATGAAAGAATATTCGGGCAAAGTTTATTGTTTTGTTGCCTTTTGATACCTGGAAATTAAAAATAAAAACAAAAAAAGAAAAATATTAAAAGTCTAAATGAATATGTTTTATTCAGGTGTTAAATAAGTTTTACGTATGGGAAAAAGGTCCAAACTCAAAGGCTTTAAGCCCCACCTCCAAAGATTACATAAATATCAACGACTTTTGAAAGATGGCATTTTACCATCTTACATTCCTGTAAGTTCACTTCATTTTGTCATTGACAAGTTTACTAAATTGCTTACTTTCCGGGTGATTTTATATTAGACCATCTTTTATATGACAACTCAATTATGCCATCAAACATATTACTATCACAAAGTAAATTAAATAACTAATGAACTTTTTCCTTTTCAACAACAGCTTTTGCATATGGACCGGTTAATTGGAATACTTACACCATGACACCATGTCAGGGATAATCAAGTAGAGGTGGTTGACATATACGATGATGGGGATAACAAAATAAATAATTAAGTTTGGTGATTTCCAGGTGGCTGACAAAATAAACTCTATGCACATAACATGTTTTTGAAAATACATAAGTAAATGTTTGTTGAAACCAAAATTGTATGCTTGAAAGTTTATATCACTGATATGTGTATGTAAATATTCTTATATGTATCTTAATTTTAATATATATTTTTTTGTGCATGCTTCATGTTCTCTTTAATATGCTATGTTGGACAGGGGTAAAATTGTCAAAATTGTCATCAACACTCTAAAAGGATAACCGGATAAGCACCAAAGTTTCGACTTGTGTTTGTTGATATGTGTTCCGATAAGGATGTTAAACTATCAAATAAAACATTCAATGTTGTGTATAAACAAGTTTTTAGAAATTTATAAAACTTTGTATACTTTTATTATTTATATAGATTTCAGTTTCTGTTTTTATTTATAGTTATATTGCATTCTACAAAATTATAATTTTCTAACATGTCTACATATACAAAATACCAATTGGATATTCAATCCAATATCATTTTCTAATTTCAGCCAATAATTATGTCATTGTGATATTACTGACACAACATATATACTTATTATTTATTAAAGTTTTTATTATCAATTTTCAATAATTAAGTTATAATTTAATTAAAATTATTTTTAAATTATTCATCCGTGGTGCCCACGGGTTATAACCTAGTTTATAGAATAAAATCGACAGTAATATTATAATGAACTTGTAAGTAATAACCATTTCGGTTGACAAGCATTAACGATATCACTATTTATGGAGTATTTCAATCCTGGAAAGAGGAAACATAAAAAATCTATATGTAAATCACCTAATGTTGACCAAGCTATTTCACTATTATGTTATTGTGGATCTTAGCTACATCTATTATATTAATCTTTAATTTACTAGGCATCCTATTACTTTCATGTTCATATTCGAGTAGTTATGAATTTTGAGATGAACATCACAAGACATTTCAAATAACCACAAAAGGTTTGAACCATGATAGCAGATCAATTAAGGTAGAATTATTCTATACTTTTAAATTTGAACAAATATTTATAATTTTGAATAAAACCAAACATATCAAAATTTATATCATTTTCTTCTCTACAAGTGAAATCAAAATGAATTTAATTTTTAACACAAAAATATAATGTTATAGCGATCAGTAGATCATATATATATATATATATATATATATATATATATATATATATATATATATATATATATATATATATATATATATATATATATATATATATAGTTAGGATTAAATAAGAATCACAAATATAGTGTGAATGTTTGATCAAATTCTAACTATTAGATTGAAAAAAATGAAAGGATGTGAAGTACATGGTATTAACATAGACTATCATTAACTATATAACTACATGTAATTATTCATAAAGGCAAATATAATATTTTAATAAGAGGGAGAAATGAGAAATACATGTATCTTGGGCAACAAAATCAAATTAATTAATAATAATCAAATTTTAAAAATACAAATTATTTTTTTATATGTTTTCAGAATTCAATTTCCATTTTTATCATTATCATTCTTAGAGAATATGTTTTTATTGGAGACTGTTTTAAACATTACCAAGAATATAGTTCAATTTTCATTCTTACTATTATAATTCTTGAAGCATAAGTTTTTAATGGAGATTGTTTTGACCGTTGACAGGAATATAACTCTATCTCAATTCATATCATTCTCATTTTTAAAGAATATTTCATAAATTACAAGTTCATATATAATATTCTTTTAGATTAATAGTTACACTCTTGAAAAAATAAAATATATTCTTAAAGAATAAGAAATTATATACAATTAGATAACTAACATTCTTGCAGAATAATATAATATTTTTGAAAAAATAAAATACATTCTTTGAGAATAATACATGAAAGAAATAAAATAAATTCTTAAGGAATAATATAACATTCCTCAAACAAGCATGCACACGATGTATTGTTCTTGCACCGTCTCACATCAAGTGGAGTTTTGGATCACTTAGGTGGTACATGTTCTTAACTTGTTGGTAGAAAACATCTTTTTTCCATTCCTGCAATAACAATGTAGCATATTTAATTGGTATAACAGATCATACAGAATTCATGTCAGCAAAGTAGTAAGCCTAAGTAATAAGATTTTAAAACTTGAAAAATTAAAGAGGATTACATTTAGGCATTTCATTAAAACAAACATGTTGCAATGCTAACTCATGCGTGTTACTTAAAATTGGTGATATGAGGATTAGTCATTTTGGGTAATTTTTTAGAGTCTTTGTTAAATTGAAAGGGATCTTAATCTTTGGTTTATTAAACAGGTCAATCTCATTTCATCACCATAGTTTAAAGAACAATATCATGACAAAGTACCATCAATTACTAAGTCAAAACTAAGTAACAGCCACCTCGATTTACAAGATGCAGAAGCATAGATTCTGTCCCTAGTTAAGTAGACATGGGCCTCAATTATGCATCTTACTAACCTCCATATCATAACATCATGTGTCAACATTAAAGAACACAAAGTTGAACCCTAAATCAAATTAAACAACAAAAAGGTTAAACCCAAAATTGAATTAAACCTTAAAATCTGTTAAACAACAAAAAAATAAACCATAAATCGAATTAAACCATAAATCGAATTAAACCTGACTGGAATTGCACCTAGAAGAGAACCAAAAATCTTGCTTCAAAAAAAATTTGAGAAAATTACCTAAACAAGGGCTTTTTGAGAGATACAAATTTTGGAGGCAATGACATAAAAAATCGAAGACCTTATAAGTTAGGGAACCTCCCATAAACAAGAACAAACCATTAATCAAGACTATATGTACGTCTATAATATATTTTTTTTACCAATAAAGGAATTTCCCACCAGCATCGTCTTCTTCGATCGATTCCTCTGCAAAAGATGAGTAGCTCGAAATATGCACTTAACACCAACGATTACTAATTTGTGAGCAAAATAAGAGGGGGGAAATTTAGAGTCTTCGATCTGGACTCTGGACGGCGGTGATGAGCAAAGCGAGAGATAGACGAAGAAGAAGTGGGGGAATAAAGATGAAGAATAATAATCGGGTTTCTTCCATAAATATGAACGTGTAATATGGGTAATTAATTTATTAGTTAATAAATTTACTATAATTCCCCTATCTGGCCTAGAATTACTTATATATTCACACAATAGGGGTTTACAAATAAACGTAACTATATATATATATATATATATATTCATTTGTTTAAAGTAAGTATTGTGTTATTGTATTCATAAATGTGGACCAATCAAAATTTAAAATAAAAATAAATAATTAAATAAATAAATAAGGGTAAATAGGTAATTTGATAATTAGTTTCCACAAATAATAGCCTATAATTATGGTAACCATTGACTTAGTTACCTACATTTTTTCCATCCCTTTTTAAAACCACAATGACGAATGAAAGGGGTGTTTTGGCTCGGTGACTCTTTGTGTTCGTTCTCCCATCGTCGACAGCCCCAAAAACAACAGCGACAGTGGCGGTCGACAGACAAGAAATCGCATGTAGTAAGGGATGGTCAATCGATCTCCGGAGGACTCCTCCTTCGTTCATCTGCTTCGTCACCAGTGATCACAAATCAACAGCGGGAGAAGAATCGATCGACAGAAGACGGTAAGAGATTTCATATTTTCTCTTTTCTCTTTTCTCTTTTCCTTTTTTTTGTTCCAGCAGTCTCTAGTTGTTCTTGTTTGGGTTGATTTGAAAGAAACGGAGGTAGGAAGGGATGGTTGGAAGGTGGTTCGGTGGAGGCAGGGAAGAAGAACCGAAATCAGATGGATGTTTGGATTGAGGCTGTGAAATCAATGGGCAAGCAGAAGAAGAAACAAAGGGTTTTTTTCTTTTTTGTTCAACTAACATCCTATTTGATCGCATCTGTGAGTAAAGCTGTCTTCTAGATTCCTGTGATCTCTAACATCCTATTTCAAGGTTGTTCGCACACCAAATTAGTATTTATTCTTATTTCTGTGCTGGTCCTACGTTTGAATTCATATCAGATGTCACGTGTTCTCCATCTTAATGAGATGCTTGGTTACTTCTCAGGATCTTGTGTGGCTGTTTGGCCATTGTTTGGTTTTCTTGTGTGAAATCAATGATAAACATGATGACTTGATGAGGGCATTTATGTCAAAATAAAAAAAAAATCTTTTTTAATGGAGTCTGATGTATGATGATAAAAGAGGCAAATTTGGTCTAAAAGCTTGAACTCTATCCTAAAGTTATGGGTTATGAACATCTCAATTGCTCTAAAAGGTACAGTTTGTTCTTGACCAGTTTTTTGGCTGCATTTTATGAATTGTTTCATATTTCAATTTATGTTTTTTTTTCTAATTTAACACTTCATTTATATGGACAGTGCAGGATCTTGATAAGCTTGAATTCTGAAAAGGTATCAAGTATGTTTATGTAGATGATTCAATGAATGAGATTAGTGAGATTCCAATTCTATTGGAATGGAATCACGAATACCAATTATGTTGGAATGGAATCACGAATTCCAATTCTGTTGGAATCGCACACACAGACACAGACACAAACACACACAGACACAGACACAAACACACACACACACACACATATATATATATATATATATATATATATATATATATATATAGTCTGTGTGTGTGTATTTATGTATATATATGAATATGTGTACACACACACACACACACACACATATATATATATATATATATATATATATATATATATATATATATATAGGTAGAGGTTCATTTGAGACCACCTATATTTTGTGAGACATGGGGACCAAATCTTAGCCTTTGATCAAAACTGATCTTGTGGCTCATAAAAAACGTGATTAACTCTAATTAATCTAATTGATTAGTTAATGAGAGGTAGATTAGTCACCAGGTTAAATTTTAGATGATCAGATCTGATTCAATGTTAGCGTTATCTTCATGTCATCAAGAAATCACCGGCTTCGATTTTTCTACCAAGATATTCGTTGGATCAACATTTATTGTTCTTCAATTCACTCCGATCAATTTTCTATCTCCTTAAATCTTCTATTCTTTCAACCGATAATCAATTTGATTTGGACATTGATCGAACAATGCTAAATAATAGTTATTAAAGTTGCGATTTTTGTGCTTTTTGAGTTCATGTTCTTCATTCTTCTACATCTGCAATTGATAATCTGAGTGATTGAGGTTTAATTTCATCTATCGACACCAATAATTCATTACAAGATTGTTATCGATTTTAGCTCTGTGATCATTGATTTCATCCAAGGTAGAGGTTCAAGTGTTCAATCGATTTCTACTTATCTTCATCTTCAACAATTGCTAACGATCTTTCAAACTGTGATTTTTACTCTACATCACGATTTCATCAATTGATCAAGGTTTGAGTTTTCTTCTCTGTGTTTTCATTGCTTTCATTGTTACTTGCATATAACATGTTCAATTGTTAACCTTGTAACATGAACTGATTGACTCATCAAACTACTAGTCATTTCTCCAATTAATATATATATATATATATATATATATATATATATATTATATATATATATCTATATATATAATATATATATATATAATTCATGATTTCAGCTATCAAACATCATATTGATTGATTGAAATCAATTATTGTTCTTGAGAAAATTCTCTTAAACTATACATGCATTCTACCTGTTTGATGAAATTCCTGAATGAATAAAGATTCTGATGTATCACCCCCTCCTTTCCATAAATAAAGTCCTCTTTAAGAATGAGTATACTTTCAAAATATGAGTTAAAAATTGGAGTAAAATAATTCAATATTACTAATCTTATTAAATTTACCTTAGCTTTGTTAAAGTATGTCATTTTCTTTAAACACAGATGGTTAGAGATGTATTTTACCACACTTTTTTTCAATATGCTCTTGTTAACCTGTAGGAAATGGGTTGAACTATAAAAATATTAGATGCTATTAAATAAATTATTGTTCTTCTAAAGCTAGTATATGTTAACAATGAGTTATTTTATGATTAATTTCATAAGAATGTATATTGTTCTGATTATATCCATTGGATACATACCATCACTGATATGTTATTACATGATGTGATTCTCTACTAGTGTATATTATTCTGATTAGACTAACTTAATTCTATCATTGAAATGTTATGAATATAATTTTGTAAATCTTAATCCATCTGAAGTTTGAATTACTTGTAAAAACATAGTATTTATTTTAATCCATATCTATTCTGAAATGTTCATTCATTTTTGTTGCAGAGAAATTTAGTTAATGAAGTTCAGCTTGAAAGGAACTTGAATGTTTCAAATTAGAAGTTCTTACGACATATGTTGAGATTAAAGAACATGTAATATCTTAGTGAAAGGTTCAGGTTAGTCATAGTCCTCCTTCTCAGTTGCATGTTAAGTAAAAGATGCATTGACTAGTTTTGCATGAAGTAGAACAGGTTTAGGTTAGTCATAATCCTCCTTGTCATGTAATTTTTTACTCTATTCATTAAAACCTGACTGAACTATAATGTTGACATTATACCATATGTTAAATATATCTTATACTATTAACCATAACTAGAATATTATGCTACAAACTAGAGCATTACACCACGAAGTAGAATTTATGACTTTGTTTCAATAATAATTGACATCGTTATTGTGTTTAATGTTATACATTTTTCTTTTATCTGGTTTTCTATAGAAACCAACTCTTTAATACAATGAAATGGTTTTTTTATTTCAAACAAAAAAATATTTAAGATGTTTTTTTAGCATAAATTTGTTTAAATATATATAGCACTACATATTTTCATAATTAGAACAATACTATGTTTAGTGTTTTATGTTAAGTATTGGTGATTCAGATATTCTCCATCATGAGAAAAATCATTTGGAAACCCAAGGTAATTTTGTTACCAATATCAATTATTCAGTTATTCTTATAGAATATTGATCATAGATTTATTAATTCCAATTATCAACATCGTGTTGCTGATTAGTTCATGTTACCGCATATTTTCTTATATAATATTGAACATACATTTATGATTAAAGTCATATGAATGCACATTATTTTTATTATATGTTAATGTGGTGGTATATTGTTTTTTGTAGTTCTAAGTGACAAGGTTGCAGCACAATATGGCTCTTGCAAACAAATCATTTGACCTGATGGTTATTTCTTTTGGATACCTGAAGTTGAAAGGAACTTGAATGTTTGAAGCTAGACTTTTTCAACTATAAGTATTGAGATTAATGGATATGTAATAGATTTTATATGTCACAAACATGTAATAGATTTTTTATGGTTTTTGGTGCATTGTTATTTGACTATAACTTGATAAGACTTTTTGATATTCATATTCATCCTTTTGTCTAACAAGGTAACCAGATGATGAAGATTTATGATATTATCTTGAAATGTTGTTCTCAAATTATCAATGGTTTTCTAATAATTGAGATTCTTTGTTTTAGTTTCATTGACTATCGGCTTTTGATTTTTCCATTTATTCAATTCATGTACATAAACAAAATTAATATAGATACTCAAGATTCAACAATATTATGAAAAATATGTCTTTATAAACAACGCATTAATAATTAAACGAACAACATTCTTGTAACGTTAACTCTTAATTCTATAATATTACATATTCTAAAATTATAATATGACACATAGTTTTAGAATATGACACATAATTCTAGAATATGACACATTACCTCAGTATTAATAAAGTGCTATCACAATATTTTCCAAAGAGGTTCAGAACAAATTGTTTCCAAAGAAAAGAAAAATGTATAAAATCATATATTACATATTATTTAATAAAAGAAAAATTGTTTCCAAAGAAAAGAAAAATGTATAAAATCATATATTACATATTATTTAATAAAATGTTCGAATACATCACACAAATTGAATATCAACATTTATAGATCTTATATACTAAAACTACAACTATATTGTCATATATACTTGTTTCGTATTCTGTTGATCCGTCTTCGGTCGGTTGACGATCTATCAGACGAGGTACCGTGAACTAAGACTTTTTTCCTTATCTATTTTTGATGGTAAACATTGTTGTACATTCTTTCCTTTAGGACAAAAACTCATTTTGCCTTAAATTTAGTAATTTCTTCATTTCCCTGCATTAAAAAATAAAACATGTTTTTGTTAAAACAATAAAACTATGATATAAAGAAGAAATTTCTTCTCAAACAAAAAATTATGTTCCAAACCTGTTATAAAATAAAATGTAATGATACAATATTTCTAAAATCCTAAGAATTTGAAAGAATGAAAAATCATTTAACAAGCAATTTACAATTAAGGAATTGCATGTTGTTATTTCCAGGTACAATCACAATATGATAAAATACTTCACAAAAGGTTCAAAACATGTTATTTCCAAAAAAAATGTAAAGTCTAAAATCATATATTACACAATAGTTAACAAAAAGGTTGAAAGCAGGCTGTTTCCAACAAAATCAGAATATTTAAAATTAGATTACGACACACAATTTTAGAATATTTCACATAAGTTGATACTATATCAAATATTATCATAA